AAATCACAGATAGAATATATTTTAATTTTAATTAAAATAAATTTTATCAAAAATCTTTTTTTAATATAATTATTTTTTTTGTAAATGTAAGTACTTTTTTTGTTATATTCGTTTAATTTTGTAGATCTAAATATTTTTTAGTTCAAAAAATACTTGGGGATTTAATCATTCAAAATATAAATGTTCATTGGGTTTTTTTTTTCGGACTTTTTCCCTATTTTACCACTTTAACTAGTTGTACAAGTCATAAGAATGTATCCAATAGATTTTAGAAAAGTCCAAAGAGTTATGTAACATGTTTTAGATTGTTCAAGGACTAATTTGTTCCAAAAATTGTCCAATGAGTTATTTAACATGTTTTAAATTGTCCCTTTCCCTTATTATCATTACCTGTACACATATTTTTAAAAACACAAAAGGAGGGTTAGACATGAATGTCTAGTGAGGTTCCCTTTCATGTAATGCAGGGTGAAGATCACCAAAACATTTATTTCAAAACAAATTATTCCATATAGTGAAAGCAGAAAATCTTATTCTGTTTCGGTCCATCGGGCCTCTGGTTCCAAAACCATAATTGGAATATATTTCAATAAACAGGACCAGAGCCCATCTGGTCTCTCTACTAAAGCTTCTGGTTCCTTGACTAGAGCCTCTGGTTGTACTAACCAGAGCTTCTGGTTCAAAAGTTATGACCAACCAGAGCCTCTGGTTTAACGTGTGAGTTGACCAATCAGTCCTCATCCATTGTCACTTTCGGCCCTCCTCCTTTCTCCCACGTCGCTCAAGTCATTCCTGCCTCGGCTGCTCGAAAAGGTATGATGGATTACTTGAAAGAATCGGCTGATTTCCTTACTTGATCGATTTCTATTTTGTTCTCTCGTTTTGCAATTGTAATGCACGATTGAAGAAGGGCTGAATTGAATGGGTTTATGTACAAGCAAGGGCAGTTTCCGATTCCTCAAATTGAAGTGCTTTGCTTTTATGATGTATGGAAAGCTCTCTATATGCAATTAAAATTGCATTTTTATCTGTTACTCCATTGTCCCAGAGTAAAGAAGTGTGAAATGAATTTTAAGATAATTTATTTGGACAAAATTACAAATGATTCAATACAATTTAACAATATAATTCATAAGCTATGATCACTACAATGCTTTCATAAGCTATCTCATCTCTAGATTTCAATTAGGTTTTTTTGGAAGTTGGATCTCTTGTGGGTTCTTGATTTATATCGTTTTTTGAAGTTGGATCTCTTCTGCTACAACTTTCATAGATCTGCTAGTGTCCCCCCTTCATCTGCATTTTCTCCTTTTTATATGTATTGTTCAGGATGGGCCAGAAATCTTGCATGAAACTTACCATTCAATCTTTCTTTGTCTTCATCAACAACCTGCACATCCCCGTTAGCATTGAAAGGTAATGAACACATGACATCCTGAAATTTTGATACAAGGTCCATGAAAATTAACAATACAAGGAAGTCAAAATGACTTTACTTGAGCTCTTAATTCGTTTGCAAGTTCTCTCTGTCGATTCTCATTAGGAGCCTCTTTTCAAGCAAACGATATGAGCTATTGCTCTAAATAGACATCTTCCATCTGCAGGAACCCCTGCAATACTTTTAACTTCTAAAATTAACTCAATAAATCAAATCTTGGATAGCACAGTAAATCCATTCACCTGTCACATTGCTAGAATTCTTTTGGTATCCCAATGGATCAAACCTTGTTGAAGTCAAAAAGCCAAAACTGTTTTGTAGTTGATGAAAATTGACGAATTCAAATTTACAATCATATAGCTAGTGCAATGTCTATGTCTACTAATTGGGTCTTGAATTCTTTTGGAGTTCTAGTCTCACCCGGTGATCTTTGATGGACAAATGGATCAAGTTGCTTGCTGTCTATAGTAATTATTGTGTCTTTTCCTATTGACATTGTGATAACAGATAAATATCACTTGAAGTGGGATCATTTAGAGGATATTAGAAGAGAGAACGACATGCTAACTTGATTTGGCTAGACAAATGGGTCTACTATTTGAAAATAGAACCCAATGCTCTTGGTGCTATCATTGATATTCTACCCGCACGATTTTAAATGTTTTTTTTCTATAGTTTATATATGTGTTTAAGAACCTTTTAGTTAGAGTTGTTCACGGGCGGGATGACCTGCTAGACCCTTCCTGTCCGGCCCGCTAGAAAAGTGGTCTTGGATTACCATTTTCGAAGAAATTGGTGGGTTTGGACTGACTTGTTAAAATTAATGGGCGAACATGAGCAATGGAAAAAAAATATTTGGACAGACCGACTAGGCCCATTAATATTTTTATGGCCCGCCCAAATATTTTTATAATAATGAACTTTTGTAATTAAAATTTACAAATAAAATTGAAAATTCTTAACACTACCAAAAAACGTCCTTTTTCCGGCAGCCAAATCCGCCGGAAATCCGCCGGAAAAAGTGATTTCCGACGGATTTCCGGCGGATTGGGCCGCCGGAAAAAGGGGCGCCGGTGATTGTTTTCCCGGCGGAATTTCCGGCGGAATTTCCCCGTTCCGGCGGATTACGGCCGCCAGAAATTCTCCGCCCGTTTTTAAAAAAAACTGGATTAACTTAATAAATCCTTAAATTTTTTTTTTAAAAAAAATTTCCGGCGGAATAATCCGCCGGAAATATTTCTCGCCGGAAAAATAATATTTCCTAAAAGAATTAATTTTTTTTAAAAATACCGGCGGATAAATCCGCCGGAAAAATATATATATAATAATTATTTTTAAAAAATAATAATATTTCTAAAAGAAATTTTTTTTTAAATACCCGGAAATCCGGCTAAAAAATATATAAATATTAATATTTTTACAAAAAAAAATATTTTTAAAAGAATTAATTTTTTTTAAAAAATACCGGCGGATATATCCGTCGGAAATCCGCCGGAAAAATATATAAATATTAATATTTTAAATTTATTTTAAAATTAATATTTAAAACATGTATTTAATACCTGTATTTAAAACCTGCAAATCTATACAATATTAAAACTAAAAATAAAAAGACGAAATAGAACTAAATATCATACATTAAAGTGAAACTACAATTATTCCAACCAAACAAAAACTAAATTGTTATAAACAAAACTAAATTGTTTCAAAGCAAAAGACAATATTCAWTATGGTGGTGGCGGGGARAAATGTTGAGATTGACTGAGCTGTGTAACCAAARCAGCCATATCTTGAAGTCRTCTATCCTGTTRYTCCTCCCTCTGTMGTCGTCGCTCCTCCCTCTGTCGTCGTCRCTCCTCCGCYGCCCGCCATCGCTCCTCCTCYGCCAAACGTCGCTCCTCCGCCGCCYGCCAACGTGCTACCAAGACACCCTGATCGCTGTTACAGGACAAGTAAAAGAATATTAGTAAAGAGCACAACCTTTGCTGAGATGCAATGAGAAGCATATAAGATTGGTTGCATAGGTTTTTTCCAAAGCAAAACTGTAAGCCTCTGCATAAGCATCATTAACAAACACARCCATAACAATGCTTTTGTAGTGGCATGCACACATAAATAATTAAACACCAATCAGGGAGTATAATAAGTACCTGAGCAAACACCCATCCAATGAGCCAAATAGCCAATCAATGTCACTTTTATGATTAGCAATGACAAGAGCAAGTTCCTTACCTGGAAAGAGAGCTGGGTTAGGCGATCATTCTTAAAGTCTCATGATCTGTGTATAGGTTAACCTGCAGCAACACAACCTCATAAATCTTTATAGAATTTTCATGTAAAATATATTGATATATTTTGGTCCACAAACAAACACCYCATCCACCATGAGGGRAAAAATCCAAGTCAAACCACAATAAATAAAGAGAAATGAGAAATAATAGAGTAACAGAATGRAYCAAAAGTATAAAATTCAACTGCGACATCAATATTTTTTCATTGTTAACTACGAAATTTACCAATTTCAAGCAGGTAAGCGATCCACTAAAGTTCAAAAGTTCTTATAACATGTTATTATGTCAATAGCATCATATTGTCCCAGAAATTCAGCCAACAAACGGTGTGAACCGGAAAATATATAGATCAAGGTTACACACAAAGAGCCCATGAATCCCAYGGCATTAAATATTGAGATCTTTATAGCTACATATTGATTAATACAAGTGTACAAAGATTCTTTACTTCCTAAGAATAACTACACATTATATGTGATGTGATCGCAAATAAATYAGATACATGTAGAAATCGCTGCACTTCAGAAGCARACAAAAGTAGGAAAACTTTTGGTATATAGCCAAAGAATGAAGATACAAGGAGCTTTTAGGTAAAATATGGCACTACACAAAAACTAAGTATTGTGTCTATAATAGAATATTGAGTCAAAGAACTGAAGAAGATACTCAAACTAACTTTTTTTAGRGAGAAAGATAGAAACCATACAAAAACTACAAGTCAATAACTTCCCTATGATGTGCAGTTAGTCAATTACAGATTAATGATGGCTATAAAGAGATAAGGAATGATTTTCCTGTGACCATCTCAATTACTGCTTTGGCTTGCACAGACACAAACCCAATGTAACAAATTAAATCATCAATCACATAATCCATTTTGAACCAAGGAGTTCATTTAACACCAAAATTTTGAATAGCGGCATCCTTGAAAACACTTGTGGTAAAACTGAAACAAAGAAARCAGTGAACATCGGAAAGCCCTAAAAATTCTTAGCGTGGCTCGATTTTTAGATGTTACATATACAAACTTAATACGTAATCTAAAAACTTTTAACTTTAATAAAATCATCATCACCTTAACTCCTGCCCACCAATCAACGATCCAAACAAGTTCCAGCCATAGAAGCTCAGCCACCATTCTGTTAATTCTTCTGAATATACTCTTCGAGAATGGTCGTACAGTCACAAAAATAAGTGCCTAAAATAGTAAATCAGCAGTAACTAATCAAACATAGTGAGATTTAGCGTTATTATAGAAGTTCACAACGAGTGAATCTTAGTAGAGATTTCAACAACAACACACACACACACACAAAAAGTATAAATCTACTAAGAGCTGGAAGAAATAACTTGCAATCAAACATCGTGTTGATCCCAAGGGTTAAAACGTTATAAAATTGAGCAAATCCCTAGCAATATTTGCATTGAATGATTTGAAAGTAAAGATATAGAGTAGAGGAAAATATACCTGAATAAGATTAACGATGAGACCAGAGACGAAGAAGAGGAYGCCAATAGGGACGATAACAACTGCTGTTGCGATAGTAAAGATGAATCGTATGAGAAACCGAAGGAGCCTGCATCTGGAGAGAGGGAGGGCGCCTGGATAGTCGTCTTGGAGACTGAATCGGCATGACGGTAAGCTCCGATAAAGAGATAAAATCGGCATGACTGTAAGCTCCGATAAAGAGATAGAATCGGCATGACTGTAAGCTCCGATAAAGAGATAGAGAGAGCTGGTCGTTGCATCGGAGGCAGTGAAGGCGTGCGAGCGTGATTAGGGTTTGGAGGCAGTGAAGGCGTGCGAGCGTGGGGGTTTGGAGGCAGTGAAGGGTAGGGTTTTATATTTTTTACGTTACCGGTGGATTACCGGCGGAAAAATCCGCCGGAAATATTTACTATATTTTAAAAAATTTGAAAATTCCGGGTTGAATTCTAATTTTGAGTTTTTTGGTTTCCGGCGGATAATCCGCCGGTTTTGAAAAAAATTAAAATTAAAACTAAAGTTAAAATTATTATTATTATTATCACTAAAATATAATTATTAAAATTTTAGAAAATAAATTACAATTAAAAATATTATTATTATTATTATCACTAAAATATAATTATTAAAATTTTACAAAATAAATTAAAATTAAAATTATTATTATTATTATTATTATTATTATTATTATTATTATTATTATTAACGAATATACACATACTAACGAATACGGTCCATTAATGTCCAATACGGTTCGTTAAGGCCCAATACGGTTCATTAATGTCCAATGGTCCATAAAATCAAAATACGGTTCATTAAGGCACAATACGGTCCGTTAAAGCCCAATACAGTTCATTAAGGCCCAATATGGTTCATTAAGGCACAATACGGTTCATTAAGGCACAATACGGTTCATTAAGGGCCAATACGGTCCATTAAAGCAAATACGGTCCGTTAAAGCCCAATACGGTTCATTAAGGCTTTATGGTCCATTAATCTCCAATACGATCCATTATGGCCCATTACGATCCATTATGGCCCAATACGGTCCATTAATGCCCAATACGGTCCATTAATATCCAATACGGTTCACTAAGGCCCAATACGGTCCGTTAAGGCCCATTACGATCCATTAAGGCCCAATACGGTTCATTAATGTCCAATGGTCCATTAAATCAAAATACGGTTCATTAAGGCCCAATACAGTCCGTTAAAGCCCAACGGTTCATAAAAGCCCAATACTTCCATTAAAGTCCAATACGATCCATTAAAGCCCAATACGGTCCATTAATACCCAATAAAGTCCATTAAAGCCCAATATGGTCCGTTAAAGCCCAATACGGTTCATTAAGGCCCAATATGGTCCATTAATCTCCAATACGGTTCATGAAAACACAATACGGTTCATTTAAGCTCAATACGGTTTATTAAAGCTCAATACGGTTTATTAAAGCCCAATACGATCCATTAAAACACAATACGATCCATTAAAGCCCAAAAGGTTCAACCAAAGCCCAATACGTTCCATTAAAGCCCAATACTTCCATTAAATCCCAATACGTTCCATGAAAGCCCAATACGGTTTATTAAAGCCCAATACGGTTCATGAAAGCACAATACGGTTCATTAAAGCCCAATACGGTTCATTAAAGCCAATACGATCCATTAAAACACAATACGATCCATTAAAGCCCAAAAGGTTCAACCAAAGCC